TCTGATGTTTCTCCTCCTTCTTCTTCTTCTTCTTCTCCTCCTGCCATATCTTTAAATGGATTCAGCTTCTTCATTTTGGGGCCTAAGGATCTGAAATTTGGTATGGAGGTACAGTGGGCAAATACCCTTAGGCGTTTTTTAAATTTTTGTGATACAGGCTTTTAGAATGGTTTTATTTGAGTTTTTTGGCTGTATTATAGCAAATGTATTACTGTGTCAGTGGGCAGTGTTAACCACATTTGGCATGAGTCATCACAATGGAATGCAGGGCATCAACCAATAGGCATGCAGCTTTCCTCTCTTCTTCTTGCTGATTGGCTGTTAGGATTTAACTTGATTAACACCTGCACAGACCATTTCCACCTGCACAGAGCATTTCTTGCTGATTGGCTGTTGGGATTTAACTTGATTAACACCTGCACAGACCATTTCCATACTGACAGTATGTCTGTTTTCAAGTGTTTTGGTAGGTATTTCAAGCTTTCCTGCTCCAGCATTGGAATGCGGGGCATGAACGTTTTTTTTTTTGAAAATCAACAGTTTGCATTATGCAATTAAAAATCCTAACCAATAATGTAGGGAATAGCTAGCCAACTGTTGTAGTCTTAGTTGTATGTTACTTCATATTATAGTTATATCAATGTAAAGCATTGTTTTCCCTTGTGTTTCTCATTCTTTCCCTGCCATGTCGTAAAATGTGGTGAAGCCATCGCTGTATTTGCTCCAAAGCAAATATTGGCCTTTCTAGTTGATTATGTATTTCGTTGTAAATGTGCAAATAAACAAAAAATCAATCAATCAATCAATAAATCAATCAATCAAATGGTTCATTGTTCAATCGACTTTGCAGCACTACTTGCATGTAGGTTGAATTGTGCCCATTGTTACATCATATACATCATCTCATCAGATGTATCAGATTGAAAAAGTTGCAAAAATATTTAGAAACAATATAAAATCCACTGCATTAAAATAATCGGTATTAGCTTTAAAACGAGACATTTAAAATCCGTGATACAATAAAATCCGTAAAATTCTTTGTACAACATTTATTAAATCAAAAATCAAATCACTCACAAATCGTAAGTCATTTCACGTGCACAGACGTCAAAGGCTAAACGTCGCCACTCTGCAATAACCACGGGGCATCCACGCATAGAAACACCGGGGACAACAATCAGAACTGGAGACGACATTCAATTCACAGGAGTAACTAATCCATTGCATGTTGACATGGCATCGACGCATTGAGTACGATTAAAGCTCATGCACATCACTTCTGATAGAAGACGAGGGATGTTGGATGGCGTAAACAAGTAGATAATAACTTAATAAGTCACAGCCTCCTAGTGACTTATTAAGGCCATGTTGATCTGATTATATGGATGGCATCCGCACGCGCATGGTTTTTTGTCTAATTCCAAAGTTTTTGACCATACTGTAAATCGTACAAAGCAGCTGCAAATGAGCAAATATACGCCGTAGATTGCACAAAATATTGGAAAATGATACTAATGTCCTAGAGTGCCAACATCAATTCCAAACGAAACTGTGGTGAAATGAAATTAAAGAGTCTATTATTCGCCATACCATACTCTGTATATATTTAGTAATTCAAACCTTCGAATGCATGACCACGTAGATTTTGGAATGAAGGCATTTTTGCCAAACGTTTTTTTCGCACGCTAGCATCAGTTTTGGAGTTCCCAGAGGATGTCATCCATATAATCAAATCAACATGGCCTAAACTGGGACATACGCCAAGATTTCCTACTTTATCAAGGGAACGTTTTGAAACCAGCTATCGGTGAATGCCTCAAGGTAAGATCCGTAATGCCTGTTTTAGGCCCGATTTAGACTAGAAACGGTATACCGTTTCGAAACGGTACGAAACGTTTCGCCACAGAAAATGGTTCGTCTTTAGACACAGAGTCGGTAGCGTTTCGGGCCGCCCGTGGCGCAGGATGCTTCTGACCCACAGTGACCTATGATGACCTCCCCAAACCGCTTCTACGGTTTGCCTCATTGGCCTTATGATACTTGTGTTTCAGGGCCTTGAACTTCGCCCGAACCTGCTTTGGGGTGCGTAAATACCCCTCAGCCGCCAGCCCGTCCACAAGCATCTGTATGCCCTCCCTATTACGCGAGGTCTCCAAGCGGGATTGTATAGTTTGATCGGCCCACAAGCTGATCAAGCAGCGGGTCTATTCTTGGGTCCAGACCCTCCCCTGGCCTTCTGCCATCCCCCCAGACATAAAGGATGACGAAAATTCGAGAAATACATGATATAAAATGGCGAAAATGGACACAATCGAATATGGCGCGAATCTACCAGAAAATGGACGCGCGCGGGCTTATTAGCATGTGATTAGCATATGACATGTGACCTGGTTTACCGTTTCAAGAAACCCTTTGACTTTAGACCTAGCAAAAAGCGTTTCGGGCCCCCCGCTGAAGGGTTCTGAAACGGTCGAAAACCACGATGGAGGTGGTTTTCGGAAACGGTCCGCGAAAACCCATAACAAACCGTTTTTTCCTCTTTAGACCGGGAACGGTTAACCGTTCCGAAACGTTTCCCTGGCCAAAACCCCTTAAGCGTTTCTAGTCTAAATCGGGCCTATAAGTTTGAGGCGTTCACAGGGGATACGATCAGCATGGGTTGGTAGATGGAGGTACGGGAGAAGAGATGAATACGTACTGCCTGTCATGGGCGTATGAGCATTGATAGATAACTAAACGGACGAACTAGAGAACGCGTTAATGAACGAACTAGAGAACGCGTTAATGAACTATTGGAAAGCGGACGGCGTATTATGGGTGGATAAGTGGATATGGGTGGATGGATGGATGGATGGATGGATGGATGGATGGATGGATGGAAGGATGGGTGGAAAGATGGATGGATGGATGGATGGATGGATGGGTGGGTGGGTGTATGGATGGATGGATGGATGGATGGGTGGATGGATGGATGGATGGATGGACGGAAGGAAGGAAGGTTGGAAGGAAGGAAGGATGGAATGAATGATGGATGGATGGATGGAAGGAAGGATGGATGGAATGTTAACGAAAATGAAAAAAAGGCTGGTATCAGGTTACTTAGTCGGGGAATATGTTTTCCTACTTTTCTTTCAGTAAGTCAAAAGTGTTCGGGGGTCAGATTTGACTCAAACTTAACTCAGATTCGTTTTGATTCGTAAAGAAAGGCGTATATGTGCCTTAAATATGGTTACTAGTCGGCTGCTGGTGTTCGGGAACAACTGAAGGCGAAGGACGTGAATGTGTGACGGGGGCTTTAGAGGCAAGTCATCAACGGCACGACGTAAATCACGACTGTAGCGATGTCTGTCTCAAAGAGCAACAGCAGGGATTGACTGCTAATGTCTACACGGCTGCGGGATGTAGCAAGGTGGGCCGTCAAGACAACGTTAACGTTACCAAGTACTTGTGCCGCAATTTTGTGCGTTTTGTGTTGAGGCGGTACAGGCATACCTCAAGTCCCACAGAAATGCCAGAGAACCTCAAATGTAGCCTGGTTACCAAACCTATTATAGCTCCCGAGTCCTACATCCTCTCCGCAAATAGCTGATGTAGGACTCGGAGCTATAATAGGTTTGGTAACCAGGCTACCTCAAATGGCCCAGTCTCCAAGTACGCCGAAAGACAGCTCGACTTGCCATGCTGTACAGAATTCAGAACAGCATTGTCTGTACAGATGGGCTCCATCCTTCCCCATTGCATGAGAGACCAACAAATTGTACAACTCTGGGGCAGGACTCAATATCGTGCAGCGTGGTTCCTGCCACGAACATGATCGCAAGCTCTCTGATGTACTTGTATGCGTACGAAAATCAGCTCTCAAGTACTTGTACGCTTACGGAAATCAGCACTCAAGTGCTTGTACGTAAAAAAAAAAACTTCCATAGTCTTGTGTCAAGACAACGTTACCAAGTACTAGTACTTGTACCGAACTTAGCTCTTATGTATACTTGTACGCGTACCAAGATCAGCTCTCAAGTACTTGCACAGGAAGAGCTAACAATGTCTTGAACGAAAGCACACTGCCTTTAAAACTAATCGTAAAATCCAATGCAATTTCAGGGCGGAAGAACCAAAAATAGATGAGGAAGTACTTTAGTATTGAAATTTACTGCTATTTCTAAGAACATTTGAGTCATCATTTCTTGTGTAAAGTGTATAAAATATCCCAAAAACAAGCTACATGAGGCCTCTCTACTGGGGTACATCTCATAAACAGCTTAGAACCAGCCTATGATACAAAGCAAGCAACCGTGTTCCGTCAGCGAAATCTTATGTTTGCCTCACAGATTTTTTTAACGGAATGGTTCAATGCAAGGTCTATACGACCACTTCTCGACGTTAAACTAGAAATATGAGAGAAACATGGCTATGTCAAGAGATGGCGGTGAACGTTTGATTTGAAAGCTTGTAGATTGTAGGTTGGTGGGAAACACTTGTCAGGGAGGGAATTCAAAATCTTCGGAGGCCATACGGGGAAAGATATCAGTATGCTATTGATTCTGCATTAAGATAATGACCAGAACACTGAAAATCCAGTTTTGCCGAACTGAAATGACATTGGATGCCTTTGAAGCACACAATTTTTGATATGATTAAATATACATATTTTGAGTGACAGTGAAGGTATGGTTGCACGAGACGATACATGAACAGTGCTTTACCTTGCATCATAGAACTTCTGAACTACAATGAGGCACTATATTGCCCTCATAATCATTTGTATCGCTTTGATAGCAATTAGCCATTAGAACTTAAATCGATACTATTTCATATAGTTTTTTTAGCATTTTATATCTTAGACCTGATGCTAGCCTTTTTTGAAATTATTGTTGTAATTATTTTAATACATCGCACACTGTATATCCCTGCATTTATCCCCCGGGGGAATGAACATGCAATTAAGATTCACAATAAAGATTATTCACATTCACACATATATATATGAAGGTTATAAATACCTAGAATGAAGGTGTAGAAGCGGCACATGAAGTCTCCGAATATCCAGTTGGCGGTCTGGTCTGCCACCAGTTGGATCCACATGCAGAACAGGGCTATGAGCAGGTCTGCCACGGCCAGGTTCATGATGTAGAAGTTGGTGGGCGTCCACATGGTCTTGGTGATGAGGACGACGCCGATGACCGTAGCGTTGCCGATCAGGGCGATCAGAAACACCAGGGCGGTGACGAGGATCTTCACGGCGGTTTCAGCGGTGGTGGGGTACTCGAACCCGGGGAAGGTGTAGTACAGCCGGTTGGTGTGGTTCCCATAGCCGGAGGAGTTGAAGAAAGATGCTGGACCGGAGCTTGAGGAGCCCCAGCCCGTGGGATCGGGTAGGGTCGCGTTCGGGAAGAAATCGATCATCTTGGCGGTGGCGCTCGGGCAGTCTCCTTCTTCAGCCCGGCAAAACATGTGCCATCGCCCGGTGCGATGTGCGCGACCGGTCTGGCGTCGATCGGCGCTCTCGATATCTTCCTCCCGCGCTCGATCAATAAACTGTCCGGGTATTTACGACAGGGGCACCGAGTGGTGACAGGAGGGCAATCCTGCGAGGCAAACCACAGACAAATATTAACCAAAAGCGACGGATGGTCTATGGAAGACTTATATCTTATTACCAACTATACTCTAGATCAATAAAATGTTAAATCCTTATTCCCCTTTGCTCCACACTTGACCGTAAGGGTCAGCTAGTTAGTTGGACCCGTCTCCCTTACTGTTAAACTTTAGCATTACCATCTATATCAGACTATACACTCAAGCTGGTGCGTTACGCCGAAGGGCGGTTATGCCTAGTCTCCATCAGACTTCTTTTGCAGGCTGAATAAATCGTAGAAATCGACCTTAAAGGGGTATGAATTGGCGAGAGAAGGTAGCCGGCCATCGACGATAAAAAAAAAGCAGGCCAATTTGATCGTCGATGGCCGGCTACCTTCTCTCGCCAATTAATACCCCTTTCGGGCCGATTTCTACGATTTATTCAGCCTGCAAAAGAAGTCTGGTGGAGACAAGGTTATACAGGCTTGCCGGCTATACAGATACAGACACACTTACATGTACTGTATGTAGCAGCGGTAAAAAGATACGGTGGTACACCTCGCGAGATCAGTAGAAGCGCTACTCTCCACCGCCGCGGCTCGCAGTGTAGTGATCACCGATAGTCCCGCTTGGAGTTCTTAACCCGCTTGCTGTGACGCCCACGTGCGCGTTGCTATAGCGATTTTTGGGCCGTTCAATCTGCTTCAGTCGGCTCCGTAAGGCCGGTTTTGTCGCTGGAGTTAGGGGCGTGCTGTTGATGCAAAGGATGCCGGTCTGGAACGTGATCTGATAGCTATTGGACAGCAATTGTACGTGGCTTCTACTGATACATAGGGCCATGTTGATTTGATTACATGGATGACATGATGCGAGCGTGCGAATAGAAATAATTGACTTCATTATGGAATGTACGTGGTCATAAAGGTTGAAAACATGACTAAACACACATGGTATGGAGAATCTGTATCTGTTTATTTATTTATTTATTTATTTATGACGATTTACCACATTTGTGGAAGGTTTGACATAACAAGTGACTATCACCTTTTCAAAGATGTCAAACCTGAGACCAGACTGTAATGTTTGAACCACTCACACCGGGAAGGTCCCCTACTCTTTTCGATAAGTGCGGTGGGTTCTTTAACGTGCGTGGGGTGTGGCTCTCCCAAACACGGGACCTCCATTTAACGTCCTATCCGAGGGACGTCCCTAGCCGAAGCTAGGTACTCATTTCCACCTGAGTGAAGTGAGGAAAGTCGTGTAAAGTACCTTTCCCAAGGGTACAACGTCGCGGCGCATGTTCGGACTTGTTCGGGTACGACCCGGAATCGAACCCGGGTCTCCCCGTTTCATAGTCCAGTGATGTACCACTACACCACACGACGCCACTAATTTGTGTATTCTGTATTTGTATAGCCGGTATAACCGCCTTTCGGCGTAACACACCAGCTTCGCAGGCACGCGGCGCGGCGGCAGCTGGCTATATTACACCGATCGACTTGTTACTACTAACCCTTGAACTTCTAGCTCTAGACATTGTTTAAAGCTATCTATTGACAGTGCCCCTACTGTACTTGGTGACAGTGAGTTCCACTCTGCGATAGTTCTAGGAAAGAATGAATTCTTGAACACCTCAATCCTTGGTTGATAACTCTGGTACTTGAATGCGTGGCTATTTCTTGTTCTCTTCTGGGCTGGTATTAGGTACTTAGTAGTTGGGACATCCACCAGTTTATTAGTCATTTTGTACATCATGCATAGTCTAGACATCTTTCTTCTGTCTTCAAGTGAGGTCCACTGTAGGTTTCTTTTCATTTCCGTGACACTAGCACCTCTTACATAGTTGTTCATACAGAATCTTGCAGCTTGATTCTGTACCCTTTCCAATTTGTCTTTGTCTTTCTTTGTATATAGATCCCATACTGTCGCAGCGTATTCTAGGTTCGGTCTTACAAGTGACGTGTATGCAAGTGATTTTACTCTCGTTGGACATGCCCACAGAATAATAGACTCTTCCATTTTAAACATTTTTTTTTTTGGAAATGATGCATTTTAGGACATTAGTATGATTTTTCAATATTTTTTTGTTCTTTTGCAATTCAAGGGTCATTTTTATTTTCAGCTACTTTGTACGATTTACAGTATGGTCGAAAACTATATTTTTAACGTGTCACTTACGAAAGGTAGTGGATGCCAAAATCATGCTGAGTTGCTTGAGTAACTGTTTTTTTGGTGTATTTTTTCTACGGAAGAAAACTCATGCGCGCACGGATGTCATCCATATAATCAAATCAACATAGCCTAAATAATATTTCCTAAGGACACACCGACTTAATTTTATGGATGACATCCTCTGAAGACCCCAAACTAGTGCGCGCGGGCGAAAAAAAAATTCCGGCCAAAAATAAAAATGCTATTAACCACAGGAATACCAAGCTGGTACTGTATTGTGAATTTGCGGAAGTACTTAGCGACGTATACGACAAGCCGGCACATGCTGGCTTTTTGCGGAATTTATGAATCGGCACTGTACATACATGTATGTACTGTGTTCTTGAGTCGTGGAGCTTCGGTAGCCTGTGTGTCCGGCTCCTTATTGTCACTAACTACCATGGACTACCCAGGCCTACAGCCAGGCCAGAGCCTCGATCGGTGGACGTGATTTTTTTAGAACAGGCGAAAATCAATGCGCGCGTGGATGTCATCCATAAAATTAAGACAGCGTGGCCTAAGGCTGAACCATGTACCACAAAAAACTGTGTGTGGGCATATATGGAATTGAAAAGAGCTTTCACAGTCATTGGAAGGATTTGTAATGTCTAGACATTCTGTGATACAGTATCCTTATGTATACCTTGCAGGGTTTGTCATATGTCATTATGTGCTTAAATTTGCTTTTCAAGTTCATAGAGGTAAATCCTAGTATAGAAGCTGATAGTCTGGTGTATAGTGAACTACGTATATGAATCACCATTAGGCCGCACCGATTTAATTTCTTGGTTAACGGATTTTTGTAGAAAAATAATGGAGCGGGCGGGCGAAAAAAACAGGCATAGACATCCTGTTATGGCCCAAAATGGTACGATACGAGCCATGAAGTCAACACACCAGGCTGGTTCAAAATTTAAACAATGAATTTTGAACTTTTAATGACACCACTGCATTGAAAGATGGAATAACTGTAACAACTAGGAAGAAGAGGACTGTTTTCAGCTGTTCAGGGTAAAATATGAGCATTTTGCAGTTTGATTATGATTTTTTGTCAAATCAGAATCCGTTAACCAAGAAATCAAATTGGTGTGGCCTTATAAACTCACGTAAAATCACCCTATATAAAAACACGTTATGTAGGGTGATTGTGTATAGTGTATCATCGCGTCTGCAACAGCGAGGGTTAAAATGCAACCATATTTCTTGCTGAAAACAGTCGCTATCGTTTAGCCCAAATAAAAGCAAATTGAGATAAGGCCACAGCAAGTAATTTTTATGGATGACATCAGCGCGCGCATTAATTTTTGCCTGATTTTGGAAAAAACAAACAAGAAATTTTGTTGCCCTCTGACAGTGGAAACATGCCGAAAATTGGCAAAAGATGTCTGTTGCCATGCCGGAAGGTGGATGGCAGATAACTATGAATAGAGGAGACAATTACAAGAAAAGACACTGATTTAATGTTTTGTTTCTTACTTTCTTACCGGATTCTTCTAATATATATATCTGTATCAGTATAGCCGGTATAACCGCCTATCGGCGTAACACACCAGCTTCGCAGGCACGCGGCGCGGCGGCAGCTGGCTATATTACACCGATCGACTTGTTACACCTAACCCTTGAACGTCTAGCTCTAGACATTGTTTAAAGCTATCTATTGACAATGCCCCTACTGTACTTTTTGACAGCGAGTTCCACTCTGCAATAGTTCTAGGAAAGAATGAATTCTTGAACACCTCAATCCTTGGTTGATAACTCTGGTACTTGAAGGCATGACTATTTCTTGTTCTCTTCTGGGCTGGTATTAGGTACTTAGTAGTTGGGACGTCCACCAGTTTATTAGTCATTTTGTACATCGTGCATAGTCTGGACATCTTTCTTCTGTCTTCCAGTGAGGCAGACTGTAGGTTTCTTTTCATTTCCGTGACACTAGAACCTCTTTCATAGTTGTTCATACAGAATCTTGCAGCTTGATTCTGATTAATCAACATGGCCTAATCTACCACAGGGTGATGAACATAACGTCAAAAGAATGTTGCCTCAAGTAAAAAAAAATGGAATCGCCTTATATATTTGTTACGCATGGGATAAATAGCATAAGTAAAGTAATCCTAAAATATTTCCTTTGGATGTAAGAACTGGATTTATTGGATTTGTAAGGTCTTATTAATGAATGGTATCATTGATAACTGGCTTAACGTAATTGAATTGGGTGGTATAGCAACCTCAACGCAATTAGCCACTGTATGGACTACGTTGCTAGACAGTTTTTTTTTCACTAATTAGATTGAACTTGGACGTATGACAACTTATTAACGTGACTGGAATAACATATTAGTATAAAATTTATTTTGGGCTTTAGGCCACAGCAAGTAATTTTTATGGATGACATCATCGTGAGCATTAATTTTCGCCTGATTTTGAAAAAAAAAATTGTTTCCTTCTGACAGTGGTTAACATGCCGAAAATGGGCAAAGATGTCTGTTGCCATGCCGGAAGGTAGATGGCAGATAACTATGAAGACAGGAGAAAAGAAAAGGCTCTGATTTAATGTTTTGTTTTTTTTACTTTGATGCAGTGATATGTGATGGTGGCTGTGCATATGTGATGTTTCCACTGAAACAAAACTGTACAATGATTGAGTCAAAATTTTAAATTGCAGGAACCTCGTTTTTTTTTCGTCCCGCCTTGCTTGCTTCGCCCGCTCGCATTAGATTTGGAGTCTGCGGAGGCTGTCATCCATAAAATTTACATGCTG